TTTTGGTAAAATAGCCCATATTTAATAAAGTATCAGCACTTAAAGATTGGCAACATTTGATGATGTCTTTAGATGATCGCCACTATAGCTTAGATATTATATTACATTTCATGGTTATTCATTTATAAATGGAATTTATGGATTAACACAAGATCCAGCTACAAAAGAATATATATTTGTAATGGTATACATTAAAAATGGAGGTCTTCAAGTTTACAAAGATCCATATATTAGAAGAGTAAAATATGGGGAATGTCCAACCTGCAATAGATATAATACTAATTGGGAATGGTGTCAATCATGTGATCTAAAGTTGTTAACTGAAGGATGGACTAGTGGCAATGAAACATTAGATGAGTTGATTAAAAGTACACAACTTGAAGCAACTGAGTATGATAATAATTGGTATCTTCAATGGATTCCTTATAATGATTTAAGAAATATTGAAAAGATAGGTGAGGGTGGGTTTGCAACTATATCCAAAGCTACTTGGTTAAATGGTGAGAGATTTTTTAGATATTATCAATTATTATTGTTGTAATTAAATATTTTATTTCAAAAATTATATGAACTTTCATGATAATTGGGAAATAATTCATATTTATCGATTAACACAAGATCCAATTACAAAAGAATATATATTTGTAATGGATTATATGGAAAAAGGAAGTCTTCAAAATTATTTAACTAAAGATTTTAAAAATTTAATTTGGCATGACAAGACAAAATTAGAATTCTTAGACAAATTATTAAAGGTTTAAAAGATATTCATGAAAAAGAAATTATTCATCATGATTTTCATAGTGGTAATATTCTTCAAAATGAACAGTATTCATATATTGCAGATTTAGGATTATCATGCCCAGTTAGTCAAACATCATCATCAGACAAAAATGATATATGTGGAGCACTACCATATATTGCACCAGAAGTTTTAAAAAAGAAACCATATACAATGGCATCAGATGTATACAGTTTTGGAGTTTTGATGTCTGTAGTATCAACTGGCCAACAACCATTTAATAATTTGGCACATGATGAATATCTTGCAATGAATATATGTAAAGGTGCAAGACCAGGATTCTCAAACAATACTCCAAAATTCTATATTGAACTAGCATTCAAATGCATGGATGCTAATCCAGATAAATGTCCAACTGCTAAAGAAATTTATAAGATTATTGATTTTTGGGATGCTTCACTTCAACATTATAGGTCAGGTGATGAATATAAATCAATTGAAAAAGAGTTTGAGAAAATGGATAAAATAATATTTGATCCTTTAACAATTACCACAGTAATTCATCCAAATGCAGTTTATACTAGCAGATTATTAAATTTTACAAACCTTCCTCAACCTGTGAATTCCAATAAAGTAACAATTATTGGTAATAATAATGGTAATTATTAATATCCAATCATTGACTATTTCATTTTTATTAAATTAAAAATATTTATTAATATCCACTCTTGTGATAAATATTTTGTAGATTCTATACAAATTGATTTAGCTATACCAGATGACTTATTTGAATAAGTTAAATCCTGTCACTTATGTATTAAATTATTTATTTATTTTTATTTATCTGGCTATATACTATAGTTTAAATGTCTTGAGTAATGATATCATATAATAACTTCTTTGGATTTTTTTTTTTTCATTTTGAAATTTTTTATAAAACAGATTGCAATTGCAATTGAAACCTAAAAATCTTTGTTTTTTAAACCTAATTTTTTGGGAAGGATTTTTTTGCTTTTGCTGAGTGGTAAATTTTTTTTTTTTATAGTGCAGGACACCTAGTCCCACAACTTTTTATTGGTCTTGTATATCCTTTAGTATACCAGAAATGGAAATGTAACACCAAAAAAACAAAACATGATTTTGAAGCTAAGACCTTTCTCCACAAAGCTACGATTTCATTTTGTTGATATGTCACATTACCATGGAGAGATCAAGCCTCAAAGTTGCACAAGTTTACTATGTTAAGCCCAAAACTGTCGCGTTACACGCGATTTATATATATATAAAAATGAACAAATTGAAACAAAATAAAAGTTTTTGAATTTTTAGTTGATGATCACATCCATATTAGGTAACCCAATGTTTATTCTTATTGCCGATTTTACTATTTATGGAATGACTAGGAAATAACACATGACAAAACAATTTTTATTGGAAATTTTTTCCCAAAATTCGTCGTCGTGGCGCAGTAAGTTGCGGGATTAGGTGTCCTGCACTGTATAAAAAATTGATCTACATAATTTTTATTTGCATACAATTTTTATTGTGAAAAAAAAAAATACAAAGAGTAATAAAAATTATTCAGTGTCACAACTCTCATCACTGTCATCATTTACCACTGTTTCATTCTCATTATTATCATCATCATTTTCAATGTTGTATGAATTTTCTACTGCATCCATATAACCTTTATTGTTGCTGACAACTTTGTTCATTGTATATGTCAGTTTCGTTGCCCTTGATGTTGATTCTTCCTGTGGGTCATGGTCTGCACTTCATTTTTTACCTGACTCCTGATGTGATTTGTGGTCTCTCTCTTGCTGTTGGAACTCATGAATTGTTCCTCAAAATCCAGATGTTTGGATTTTAATGCTTTGCATGAGGATTTCTTATCATCATTGTTGTTGGTCTTTTCAACCCTTGGGTAAGTCCACTCAATTTCACTTTTATCAATTATTCAAATAATTATATAGGCAGGCTTGGTAGAAGTAAGTGTTAAAGTCAAGATCTATTTGCAAATCAAGTTTCCAAAATGAACATTTATTATTATAGGCAGGTTTGATCAAAGTAAGTCTTAAAGTCGAGATCTATGAAGCTGTTGGTAAAATATATTTAATTAATGTTTATTATTATCAATTATTCAATAACTATATAGGTGGGATTGATCGGTCAAGATCTATATAATTAGATTGTTAATAGTTAGTAATGGAATTTTATTATATGCAAAAAAAAATTTTTTGAGTTGTAAATTTTGTTTTATTAAATAAATTTGTTTGATTTTTTCATTCATTCATGTTTCCTCTTGATCATATATCTTAAATTGGTCACATTTACAATCATTTTGACATTTGTTATATTAAGGTTATTTTGATTATATCAAGAGATATGGTCAAGAAAAGAGTTAGAAAGAGAGTTATTCTTCAACCAAGTTGAAAACCAACCCTTTAAATAAATTTTCGAGTAGTACAGTTTAATTTATTAGACTATTTCAAATGGTTGCTTCCAATTTCTTAAATTCAAACTATTTGTTAATGTTAATGAAACAATTGTTCGTGAAGTGATTGTTGACAAAATGAATCAAACCCACATTAAATGTTTTATTTTTAAATTCATGATTTTAATTGGTCAATCAATCAACAATTGTGTGGGTTAAAATTTGTGTTACATGTTGTATAATAATAACAAACAATTATTTCATGTGGCCAAATGTAGAAGGTTGAGTTCCATGTGCTGAAATGGCTTAGAGGAATTTCTCTATGAAAAAATAACAAAAAAAATTTTTTGGATGGCTGTCCTATTTATATGTTTCGAATTTAATAAAATAGACTATTGTCTTGGACCGAGTGATGTTATTTTTTTGCAGAAGATGCAAAACCCAACTTAATTGAATTTTTATTCTCACATAGCACAGTATGTGTGATTTGTGACACAAAAAGCTCACATTGCATTCTCAGTTATAAGCTTGTTGAATTAAAATAAAATAATTTTCTTTTGTCATTAATACATTTGCCCATAAAAAAAATTGCAAGTCATGTACCCACTGATTTATCATTGGTCCAAATTATCTATAGAAACAATCAATTGTAACAATTACTACGATCTAAATCAATAAAAAAAAAATCAATTTTTAATTCTAAACAAAATGGCAACAATCCAAGAAATAAAAAACAATTTAAAGAAAGCTGAAAACTGGTTGGGGGTGTGGTGAAGGATTTGGAAGAATTTATGAAGAAGGAGAACTTGGAGTCATTTAAAGAAATGTGGGGAATGGAAGAGTTAAAAGGAAAGAAGAAGAAATTGGAGGAGAGTAAAGAGAGGTGGGAGAAGGAGGTGCAGGAGTGGTATAAAAAATTGCGTGAATGTAGAGGAAAGGTAATGAACAAATTTCATAAAAAAATATACAAAAAATTATTTTTTATTCATTCCATTTTTTTATTTATTTGTTTGTTTGGTATACTGTTTACTAACCTGCTTCTTTATTCTGTAAATTATCTTATTATTCTATATACTTTATCAATTTGCTTATCATTAATAATTATTATGAAATACTGCAACCATTTTAGATACAAATGAATTCAGAAAAAAATATACATCAAGGCTTGGTAAGAAAATATATACATTCTTTTATCTCTTTTATATTATGTATGACTTAAATTTTTTTTTTTTTTTTTTTTTGGAAAAACAAAAAAACAATTTTTTTTTTGACATTAATTTATGGATTAGGTGGTATGGGTGGAACATCATATGGAGGCAATGAACTTGGTCATGGATATGAAGGTATAAATATCTCTGATCCAACCATATGCCAAAGAGTTTTCACAATAAATAAACTGAAAGAATGCTTGTTCAAGGAGAAAATAATTCTAATTCGATCACCACCAATGGCTGGTAAAACTTCACTTGCACAACTTCTTGAAAAACAACTTTTGACTGATTGTCCTGATATGAGAATCATTAGAATTTCATTATTGTGGATGGAGGATGATGATCCAAATTGGAAATTCTCTGACTGCTTCAGTTGGCTCATGAGAGGAATTGGTTGGCATCAATTTGTAGCAGAGTGTTCACATATTGAAACTGTTTTAATTGTTGATGAGGTACAAAAAATTTATAGGTTAGGCTCAGAAAATGCTGAACCACATCATGAAGGAAAGGAATTCGTTTCTATGGGCCTCAAGCACTAGCTCCGCTATTATGGACGATCTGTTACCTTTGCCGATCATAATTATTTGTGAATTTATTCTGATAGGTGAAATCAAAAACTTTGACACTTCTCATAGACCCTGAAATGTTAACAAAAAATAGGCTTAAATGTTTTTTTACAACAACAATAGATACCTCTTATTTATACATAAAATAGAGAAGATCTAATGATCACATAATAATACACAACATCAGATTAAAATGCATTTGTGAAGTCTCATATGTTGGGACACTAGCTCGATAATTAACTTTACCTTTTACTTTACACTTTAGAATGGGGTGTTTCCTTATTGCTGAGCAATGGCTCTTCAAGCTTACCGCTTCGATCCTATGTATATCCTCTGTTGCTGAAGTATCTGAATCAGAAGAAATGTTCGAATCCATGGTTGATTAATTTTTTTTTTATTTGAATATATTCATATCTTATACAAAACAATGGGAAATACCAAATCCGAACTAGATCTATTGAAACAAGAGAATGCTAGGCTTTTGACTAGAATAGCAGAATTGGAACAGATTGCGAAAGAAAAAAATAAGCTTGAGCTTAGAATTGCGGAACTAGAACGGTCAGCAAAAGAAAATGAAGAATGATTTGCGAAATTGGAACAAAAGCAGTTGCAAGATGATAAATCTTTGGTCAATACCGTTCCTACCGAAATAGTAAATTCCAACGATACTCCTGCATCTGAAATAACCAGTGACACATCAAATTCTGATGATACCTCTGAACCTAATAATGTCTTGGTATCTGATGTATCCAATAATGTTTCAAATTCTGATGAACCTAATAATGTCTCGGCATCTGATATATCTGATAATACTTTAAATTCTGATGTATGTCTGGAAGAGATGAAGTCTAGAGTCTCCGATATACCTTTAACCCAATGCTTTGCATCTCCTATTCCTGCAGAAACCATATCATTGGAAGAGAAGGAAGAAAATGAATTTCTGAATTTGCAGTATAAGGATCAGGTTAGTAAAGAGATAACAGAGAGAATTAGGGAAAAGAAACTCCAAGATCAAGAAAAAATCATAACTTCCCAGGATACTAAATCTTCTTTGAGTGTAAAAGGTGGACAGGGGTTAATCTAAGAATTATTTACTCCAGAGCCGTCTCTACAAGAAGAAGTGAAGCTTCGAGTCGAAGACTCATCGAATATAATTCAAAACCATGTGATTGAAATTTCCAAGACCGGCGGTCCCAGAAAATCTAACATTGATGAAGCATCGCAACATCTAGCTCAGTTATGTGATAAAGCTTTTGATGCTGAGGATGGTGCAAATAGAGCTAACCAAGAAGAAATCTTTATGTTGGGCCATCTATGGAAAGGATTTCAGGGTTCAGTTCAATGATATTATTAAAAATAGCGAAGGTAAAATTGGTGAAAAGAAGGCGAGAAGCTTACTTTATGATTCTATTACAAAACAACTTTCTATTATCTGTAAAAAAAGATCTCAAAAATTGGGTTTATATCTTCCAGAAATATCGCAGGATGCTTTGCGCAAAAAAACTCAGAGAGCTGAGAAAATTTATATATTATTTGAAAAAATAGGCCATGATAAAATCAAATGCATCAAATCATATAGTGCAAATTCCATTTCAAAACTTACTAATGATCAAATTCAAGAGATTATAAATTATTCTTGTCAGAACGTCGATACAGATAATGCAAGACATCAAAATTCTGAGACCGCCGGTCCCAGAAAAATCTCATCTGAAACAGACGAAAGTATTACAACCACTTCCTCTGTTCCATTGGTTCATACCTCTAATTCTGAAGATAAAATAAGTGAGAAAGTCGAATCTTTACTTGAGGAAGAGGTAAGTATATCTCAACCTAAGGACCTTACCTGAAAAACAAAATAATCCTACCCACCTTATGACTGCTCCTGGCAAGGATAACCATATAAGTTTTTGTAAGAAAGTATTAGATCAATATCCCAATATATTTTATGAATTTAACGATGAAAATATTGATTACTACGGAATTAGTGATGATGCATCATGCCCTTTATGCAAGTTAGACCATGATGGTGAGGAAGGTATAAAAGGAGAATATAAAGATGAAACTTACTATATTAAATGTGAGCAAAACGAAATTCAAATAACTACATAAAATTTGTTTGCGCTTTATAACCCGCCTTTTCACAATAACTGCTCAAAGCCAGAAAAAAAGTCAGATAACATATACTGATAGAAGCAAAGCTCCATTGCAAGGCAATAATATATACTGATAATATATACTGATAGCATATACATTTTTTTTTTCTGAGAGACAAAGAGGAAAAAAGGAAATTAAATTGCTTTGAAATTATATAAATGACAACATGGATACACAAGCCAAGTCTGATAAGGTACTAACCCCCAAACATCTGAATTGGTATTCCAAATTAACTGATTTGCCAACCACTATATCCGATAAACTTCATTCCAAATTATATAAAATATATAAGAAAAAAACTGGGCTTGATCCCTGGATAATGTCTGAAACTCCCGAACCTCCACAAAGCAAAAATGCTGATAATCATATCCTACAAGACAGTTCACTGAAAACTCAGGTGAGGGTACTACAGATGAATGTTGTACCTATATCACCTAAATGACAATTTCCAATTTCTGTTCTACCTAAAGACCCAGAAGAGAAACAAAAACACGTTATTAAAATGGTATTGGAGCGATTTCCTTATTTAACTCTGAAACATAGCTTTAAAAATAATTACTTTGATTTTAATAGATCAGTACCCTGCCCTTTATGTAATAAAAACCATAAAAAAGAAAATATAATTATATAGAGGGTTTTTGGGGTTGTGGTGAATATTGTGGCGAAGAAACTTATCATCTTTATTGCTATACAAATAAATATCAGAATTCAATCCAAATAGTATCTATAAAGGCATAAGATATCATATAACTAGCAATAAATTGTTTTTCTGCATATATAAAATGTTTAGAAGATTAATATCAGGTGCTAAGTGCTTATCACCCAAAGCAATTAGGGATATTATTACTGCAAAGGGTACAGGAAATGCATTACCGATATTAGCTTTAAAATATAATGTATCATATGCACGAATTCGTGAAATATGGAAATTTGCTATTTGATAAATAATTAATATGATGCACATTACACTTAAGAAACATGAAATAGAAAATAATGTATTATGCAGAGCAGGTTACAAAGTACCCTAACTTTATTTATAAAGCAAAAAAAAATTAATAAAGTTATGAATATTTCGCTTTTGCGCACTCATTACATTCATTGTAATTTTTTTTTTTATTAATATTCATCACAAATGTTCTTTATTGCAAATTAGATTCCGATACCAATTTCGCTAACACAGATCATATAAATTTTATACATAACAAAGAAAGTATAATAATAAAACAATAATAGTTTGATCTGTTGATTATAAATTTTATGTTAAGACTTGAAGTATATCATTAAAATCTATGTTCACTCCACATCCTAATACAAGATGCCTATTCCATTTCATCTTGTACCAACGAACTGTATTGCCCATGGGCCAATGGCTGAGATATGGAGCATAAGAAGGACGAGCCGTTTTGGGTGTTCCCACCATTGAAAGGACACCTGGATTTGGATTTGCTGGAAAGGCAGTTTCAGTAGCCGGAACAACGATTATTACAAATTCTGTGGTCAGGCAGTAGGGTTGAACACATGTGAATTTATTCATGGCATTATCACGATCCCCAGAATTGTCATAGGTCACCTATAAATATTTGATTAGGCTGATTGTATCAAGAATTAGTTGCATAATTCTGAAGATAAGGGAATAAGATCTTCACCTCGATCCACAGCAATGGTGGTGGACATAGATTAATTATAGGGTTAAGCCTTTGATTACGTGCTGGTTTAGGATTCCAACCGCCCACATCAGGTTGATACTGATTACCGTTAACCACACATATTGTATCAATTTGAGTCCACCAAGTTGGTGGAAGTTGTTGATCAAGTGAATACGTTACTTTCTTATGTATTTCTGCTTTAATCCCACCATTAAACTTGAATAGTAACAAAAGAATTAGAAAATGCATGTAAAATAATTATAAAACAAAAATGGTACCTTACCTTGATGAACAATTTATTGTCAACAATTTCAGCATTAAAAATATCATGGATCGCTTCAAAAATTTTATCACGTTTCCTGCCCTTGGCCTTTATTTCTGGTAATTCAAGTTCTATAATATCCACATCATGCATTTCGTGTAGTTCTTCATTAACTTCATTTTCAATTTGACTGATCACCTAGGAGAAATGGACTGTTGGCTTAATTCAAAATATATGTTTCAAAAAAAAATGTAATGCATTATTATACCTTGGATTCTGCATTATCTTGAATCAAGTCAACAAGCTTTTTAAAGGCACTTTGTACTCTTTGTACTGTGTTATAAGAATGTGCAAAGTTCCTTTTATAAGACTTTTGGATAAATGTTTTTTTAATTAACAATAAAATAGTACCTTTACTAATTAAATGACCACTAACCCCACCGATCCCAAAACTACTCTCTACTCCTAAAAATGTGGTTGCCATTGCACTACAAAAAATTAAATTGTAAGCAGAATTTTATTGTACTAGTAATAAATTTGACTAGTAAGTAGAGTTTATTATTACATCATCGGTTTTATTTTTGTACACATCTGATTGGGTTGTACGATAGACTATGTAGATCAAAACTAATTGACATCATATATTAAAATTTACTAATTAACTTTTTTTCAACGAATATAAAAATAAAAATTGCATCTTCTCCTTCAAAAAAAAAGATACAAGTATGAAATTAAGTAAAATCGTAGTAAATGTGATGCTGAACATGGTGACAGAGAGTTTTTTTTAATTTTATTAGTAAAATCATCCGAAATGTTAAAAATACTGTTAAAACTTTGAAACGTATAGGCTCGATAACCAAACAAGTTAGAGTAAAAAAATTTCCATAGTTTTTT